TTTGGCTTGAGGGATCTTTGGGCTTTGTTACGGGGGTAGTTTGAGCGTTAGTGTTTAGGGGCTTTGTTGGTGGATCGGGGGGCTGAGCAACTCATATCTCCACACTTCGTACCTACTTACACACCTGCAACCCTAGCCCCCGAACCCCAAGGCCTAAACCGTACACCCTAAACCCTAAACCCTAAACCCTCAACCCTCAACCCTCAACCCTCAACCCTCAACCCTCAACCCTCAACCCTAAACCCTAAACCCTAAACCCTAAACCCTGAACCCCAAAGGATCGGCGTCTGTGTCAACAACGCCAACCCGCCACGGACGCCCAGGGAGATCAATGCCGCAAAGTTCGTGCCTGGACTCCGAAGTATAGGGTTTGGGGTTTGGGGTTTTGGGTGTCTGGTTTTGGGTTTGGGGCTTGGGGTTTAGTGTTTAGGGTTTAGGGTTTCCGAGAGGTTAGGGAGTTCAGGGAGGCTAAAGGTTAGGGAGCTTAGAGTTTTGGTTTCATCGGCATAGTCGCCTCTCCAACCCCATGAAAGCAGGGTGCACAGTTCTTCCTAGGTATGGAGCCCCTAAGCCCTAAACCCTAAACCCTAAACCCTGAACCCTAAACCCTAAACCCTAAACCCTAAACCCTAAACCCTCCACCCTCTTCCCTCAACCCTCCACCCTCCACCCTCAACCCGCAACCCTCCGCCTTCAACCCTCAACCCTCAACCCTCAATCCTCAACCCTAAACCCTAAACCCTCGACCCTAAACCGTAAACCCTAAACCCTAAACCCTAAACGCTAAACCCCAAACCCTAAACCCTAAACCCTAAACCCTAAACCCTAAACCCTAAACCCTAAACCCTAAACCCTAAACCCTAAACGCTAAACGCTAAACCCTCGAACGCATCGCGAGGTGATGCCAGCTGCAGTCTACTACCTCGGGGTTTTGATTCTCTACATCATCGTCTTCGCGTTTCTGGGCTGGGTTTGAGGGTTCGAAGGCTTGAGGTCAGGGTTCTGAGAGTTTGGGGTTTAGGGTTGAGGGGTTAAGGTTCAAGGGCAGTTACGATGCAGGTTCCTAGGTCTGAAGCCACGAGTTGGACATGACGGCGTCCCTAAACCCTAAACCCGAAAATGCGATGGTATGGGTGGTTGCCTGTGCTGTCCGCACACTTGGAGCATCGGGGGGACTGAGTTAACAGCGACGAGGTAGAGTTATAAGTGCCCTAAATCCCAAACCCTAATTGGGTTTAGGGTTCAGGGTTTAGGGTTCAGGGTTTTAGCGTTTGGGGTTAGGGGGCTGTCATACTTAAGCACCCTGCTTGAAAACTACTCATCCGATCATCCGCGTAGAAGGTGATGGTCTGGGGTGGTTGCTTGTGATGTCTTCTCAGCTAGAGGAATCTAAACAAGTCCCAGTTTCGCAAAGCCCCGGGCCTCAAACCCTGAACCCTAAACCCTAAACCCTAAGCCCCAAGCCCTAACCCCAAAACCCTGAACCCTAAACCCTAAACCCTAAACCCTAAACCCTAAACCCTGAACCCTGAACCCTGAAACCCTAAACCCTAAACCCTGAAACCCTAAACCCTAAACCCTGAACCCTGAAACCCTAAACCCTAAACCCTGAACCCTGAAACCCTGAAACCCTAAACCCTAAACCCTAAACCCTGAACCCTGAACCCTAAACCCTAAACCCTAAACCCTGAACCCTAAACCCTAAACCCTAAACCCTAAACCCTGAACCCTGAACCCTGAACCCTGAAACCCTAATCCTCTGAGGGCAATGGTCGCCACGGGCACCTATATGTTCATCAGCCTCGCGGCTCGGAAGCAGCTGCTGAGCTTGAGAAGGTTGAGGGGGGCTCCAGGGTTCAAGGGGCTCAAGGGTATGTAGGGTTTAGGGTTTAGGGTTTAGGGTTTAGGGTTTAGGGTTTAGGGTTTAGGGTTTAGGGTTTAGGACTTAAGGGTTCGAGGGGTTCAAGGGCTTCAATGGATGTAGGCTTTAGGAGTTTAGGGTCGAATCAACGGTCAGTACCCAAAACGGAACGTGATTGGGGTTGTCGTGTTACCATACTCCCTGATCTTCCCTCAGGTTCACTCAGGCCCTAACCCTAAACCCTAAACCCTAAACCCTAAACCCTAAACCCTAAACCCTAAACCCTAAACCCTAAACCCCAAAAACCTAGGGTTTAGGGTGGTCGCAGGCGGCCCTGGGAACGCTGATCCTCTACGCAGCAGTGACCCTTGGCTGTAGAAGTTCGTGGGGTTTAGGGTTGAGGGGTTGGGGTTTAGGGTTTAGGGTTTAGGGTTTAGGGTTTCAGGTTTAGGGTTTAGGGTTTAGGGTTTAGGGGTTGGGGTTGGGGTTGGGGTTGGGGGTTTGGGGTTTAGGGTGTAGGGTTTAGGGGTTCAGGGTTTAGGGTTGGGGCCCGGGTTTAGACCCGAAGCCCTACAACCCCACAAGCCCTAACCCCGAAACCCCAAAACCTCTGCGAAGCCTGAAGCCCTAAAGCCCAGAACGCCAAAATACTAAACCCCTGAGACTCTATAACCCGGAGCCCTAAATCCCAAAACCCGAAACCGCAAACTCCAAAACCCTGGAGGATGCCGGCATGTCTGGGGGCCCCTTTTGAAAGCCCCAAACACATGCACTCTGCGCAGCCCTGACGTTTGTTGATTGGGATGTAGGGTTCGGGTTTAGGGTTTAGGATTGAGGGCTAATCACAGGCGTGTCGTGCAGCATGCAGACGTGCCCACCCCAAGGCCACGCCCCAAAGCCCTGAATCTTTGGAAATATTCTCAAAGCCCCTAAACCCTAAACCCTAAACCCTAAACCCTAAACCATTAACCCTCACGAACACTACCATCGAATAGCACGTGCGGTTAAGAGCCCTTCTTTTGAGCTGGCGCCAAAGCGCGCGACGACGCGCGCAAGGCCTCCCTAAAAAAAAACCCTAAACCCTAAACCCTAAACCCTAAACCCTCAACCCTCAACCCTCAACCCTAAACCCTAAACCCTAAACCCTAAACCCCAATATACTAAAGTAATAATATTAAGTAAATGAATAAATAAGCACTAAATTAGATACAAAAGTAGATACCATATATATATATATACATATGTAATTATATAGTAGTGTAGGAATAAAGTCATATAGCAAAAAAGAATATGATAATGAGAGGTGCGCGACGTTCTTCGTGCGCCAGTACTTGAGCGACCAGGCGCTGGTGCAGAGGCGGGGCTCTCAGAAACCCGAAGCCCACTTGGAAGCCCTCTTGATGTTGTCAGCAGGTTTAGTAAGGTGGGCTATGGGGATTCCAATTATTGGATTGGAAGGGATACTAAGTAGAACCCCAAACCCTAAATCCCTTAGATTCCGGACCCAGGTTTTTAAGTTTAGGGTTTAGGGTTTAGGGTTTAGAGTTTAGGGTTTAGGGTTTAGGGTTTAGGGTCTGGGGCCTCAAGCCTTGAACGCCTGAGCTCCTGAACCCCTAACCTTAAGCCCTAAACTCCCAAACTGCTACACTCCTTCACACCCTCAGCTTGACACCTCAACTCCTAAACAGGGTTTAGGGTTTAGGGTTTAGGGTTTGGGGTTTGGGGTTTAGGGTTTAGGGTTTAGGGGTTTGGGGTTTAGGGTTTAGGGTTTAGGGTTTAGTGTTTGGGGTTTAGGGTTTGGGGTTTAGGGTTTGGGGTTTAGGGTTTAGGGTTTAGGGTTTGGGGGTTTAGGGAACCTCCCCTCTTGCAGTCGGCTGGCCGGCCAGCAGATCCCCGGCACCTCCGGTGCCGTTGTGATGGGTCAGCCGTCGCCAGGGGCTTAGGCTCTAGGGCTAGCAAGTTCCCTACAAGGATCGTAGTCGGGGTTAGGGTTTAGGGTTTAGGGTTTGGGGTTTAGGGTTAGGGTTTAGGGTTTAGGGTTTAGGGTTTAGGGTTTAGGGTTTAGGGTTTAGGGTTTAGGGTTTAGGGTTTAGGGTTTAGGGTTTAGGGTTTGTCCAGCAATCCAGGTGGAGTTTGGGGTTGAGGGTTTTGGTAGTTTGGGTGTAGGATTTAGGGTTTAGGGTATAGGGGGTAATCTAGGGTGCAGGGCTTGTGAATCTAAGGCTGATTAGGCCTGTTTAGCGTTCAGTGTTTGGGGCGAGTGCCCAGGACACCCTAAACCCTAAACCCTAAACCCTAAACCCTAAACCCTAAACCCTAAACCCTAAACCCTAAACCCTAAACCCTAAACCCTAAACCCTAAACCCTGAACCCTGAACCCTAAACCCTGAACCCTGAACCCTAAACCCTAACCCTAAACCCTAAACCCTAAACCCTAAACCATAAACCCTAAACCCTAAACCCTAAACCCTAAACCCTAAACCTTAAACCCTAAACCCTAAACCCTAAACCCTAAACCCTATTCGGAGGCTTGCAGGATTCCTAGGGTGCCAGGATGTCTGGGTGCAGAGCCATAACTAGGCCGCAGGGTGGGGCACCCCTATTCCCGCTTTATAGGGTCCGGTTCCCTTCTGAATTCCTTGAACCAAGCAAGGTTTGCTTTGCTATTCCTGGGTTTAGGTTTTAGGGTTCAGGGTGTTGGGGTGTTGGGTGTAGGGGTTAGGGTTGGGGGTTTGGGGTTTAGGGCTCTTGGACCTAGGAAGCGGTTTCAGGCTTTTCCCTAAACCCTAAACCCTAAACCCTAAACCCTAAACCCTAAACCCTAAACCCTAAACCCTAAACCCTAAACCCTAAACCCTAAACCCTAAACCCTCAACCTTATGCCCTGAAGCCCAGCAGCCCAAGCCCTGGGCCTCCTTGTGTCATGCGACGCGAGGGAGTGGCAGACGATGTCTTCCCTTCCTCCTCCTCCTCCTTCCCTGCTCCCCGGAAAGGATCAATGCTTGAAACCCTAAGCCTCGAATGGGTTTAGGGTTTAGGGTTCAGGGCTTTGGGGTTAGGGTGATTAGGGTTTAGGGTTTAGGATTTAGGATTTAGGATTTAGGGTTCCCTAAGCTTTCTTTGGCAAATGGATCCTTTGTGGTGCCCTCGTATTTCGAGGAGGCCTGCGTGGGTGCTCTCCGAAGGAAGCATCTACGCAGGGGCATGGCGTGCGCAGGAAAACAAGCTTGGGTGTGGGGGGGGGTTGGAGGGTTGGCTTGTTGAGTGTTTTCGGTTGGGGGCTGCCGGGTTTAATGGCAGCAGCGCGAAGCACGCGATATATGAGCCCCCCCTAAACCCTACCCTGAGCCCTAAGCCCTAAGCCCTAAACCCTAAACCCTAAACCCTAAACCCTGAACTCGGAAACCCACGCCCGTTCAACCCCCAACCATGGTCTTGGGCTTGGACCCTTATGTTTAGAGTTTAGGGTAGGTTTTTAGGGTTTGGGGTCGTTTAGGCAGGGTGTTAGTTTAGGTAGGGTTTTAGAGTTTAGGGTTTTAAGTTTTAACATTGGGGTTTTAGGCGGTTTAGAGTTTAGGGTTGAGACTTATTAGGCCCTTCCCCGAAGGAAAAAAGCCTGGAGCCTTAAAGCCCCAAGCCCTAGAGTAGGCCTTGGACTCTCAAACCATGGTTCATGGACCCTCACCCTGAAACCCTATATAACCCTAAGGCTGTACAGCCCGATGCCCGAAACCCTAGTAGGCCCCTAAACCCTAAACCCTTTTCCCCAAGCCCTAAACCCTAAACCCTAAGCCCTAAACCTTAAACCCTAAACCCTAAACCCTCCAGAAACCCTAGTAGGCCCCTGAACCCTAACACCCCAACGCTCTCCTTTGGCACAGGAGGTGCCTGCGGAGGGCGTTGCGCTCGGAGGCCGGCTCGCAAAGGGCTTCGCGTAGGGAGAAGGGGAACCCTAAACCCTGAACCCTAACCTCTAACCTCTAATCCCTAATCCCTAATCCCTAAACCCTAAACCCTAAACCCTAAACCCTAAACCCTAAACCCTAAACCCTAAACCCTAAACCCTAAACCCTAAACCCTACCACAGGTCGCCCCAGGCTCGACCTGCCTCGTCCCTCTAGCAGAGCTTCGCAGCGTGCATTGCTGTCGTTCCAGCCTGGCAGCCGAACTTGGGGCTTAGGGTTTAGGGTTTAGGATTTAGGGTTTAGGGTTTCGGGTCTAGGGCTTAGCGGAAGCAAGCAGTGATTAGCTGCGTGGAGCACTGCAAGTTGACCTCAGACATTTTGTCCGAGCTTGTCAGAAAGAAGACCGGAGGGGCAGCTGGGGGTTTACGATGTTAGGGGTACCTTATTGGGGTCGGTATTGTAAGGGGTTCCTAATTATTTTGGGGTGTATATTGGGGGTCCCCTATTGTCGTAAGCCCTCAGCTCGAGCATGAATCTGATGCTGCAGAGCTGTCCCTCACCGATGACGCGCGCAAGTACAGATACGAGCTCTGTGGCTGTGCGGCGAGAAGGGTTTACGGAGGGTTTGGGGGTTTAGGGTTTAGGGTCAGGTTTTAGAGTTGGCTTGTGAATCGGAATGGGGTACCCTCAATCTCTTGAATTGGTTTGGAGGGGGATTCAAGGTACCCAAATACAAAATTCTCGATTATGAGCCCGGAAGTAAACCCTGAACCCACTGGTATTTTGGAATCCGGCTGCTGTTCCGGGAATCAGGATGTTCTGTGGTGTGGCGGTTTAGGGTTTAGGATTGAGGGGTAGCTGCCGAAGCATGTGGTTCTGAGTGGCATGTGGGAAAGGCTCGTAATGTTGCACCCGTAATATTCTAGGGGGACGCTATTATGAAAAGTTTTCCGGCTATTCAGGATCTGGACCCTTTGTTTTGGGGGTCCGCTATAATGAAAAGATTTCGGGCCGGGCCTGTTTTTTTGAGGGTGTCAGGAAGGCATAAGCTTCTCGAGAAAGAGAGATACTTGAAGCCTGATGCCTCGACCTGTCCAGGATCTCCGACAATCTTCTTTTTTCAGGGCGCCTTTTCTTTATAAATTCCTTACTTAAAACTAGATGATTCCATAGGCGAATCATATCCGGAAAGGGGGTACCTTACGGAGGCCTCCGGACACACTTTAATACCTTTGTTTGGGGGCCCGCTATAATGCAAGTCTCCCGGGGCCAGGGGCTCAGTCCTTCGGTTTTCAGGAAGGCATAAGCTTTCTCGAGAAGGAGGGATACTTGAAGCCCTCCTCGACCTGTCCAGGATCTCCTTTTTTCAGGGCGCCTTTTCTTTATAAATTCCTTACTTAAAACTAGATGATTCCATAGGCGAATCATATCCGGAAAGGGGGTACCTTACGGAGGCCTCCGGACACACTTTAATACCTTTGTTTGGGGGCCCGCTATAATGCAAGTCTCCCGGGGCCCGGGGCTCAGTCCTTCGGTTTTCAGGAAGGCATAAGCTTTCTCGAGAAGAAGGGATACTTGAAGCCTGAAGCCTCGACCTTTCCAGGGTCGCGGGGTAGCTTAGGGAGGCTCCGGACCCCCCCCCCCCCCGACTGTTTGGGGTCTTTTTTTATTCAGGGTCGCGACTGTTGAGGGGGGGGGGGGGTTACATTATTAAAGCAGGTCCAACATTAGGACTCTACTAGTGATACTTGAGCTTGCAATCCCATGTAGCATCCCATTAACTGAGTCTTTACATCACCCCAGTTGTAAATTGGAACATAGCCCCCGCTGCAACTAGTTGGTAAGTCGTCCAAATTCCTCAGCCCCAAACCCCTCCCCAACAAAGCCCTAAAAACCCTAAACCCTAAACCTACCCATGAACCTCCAAGTAGTACGACAAGTTAGCGCTGCAGTTTCCCTAAACTCTAAACCTGTAAACCTCAGTTATAACTACCTATGAATCCTGAACGCAGATGGCTTTGGGATTGCTGGCATGAGACGCCAAAAACGAAACCCGAAGCCCAAAACCCTGTTCTATACTAGACCCTACATCCGAAGCCGCAGGCCCTTGCAGACTCTCAACCCTAAACCCTAAACCCTGAACCCTAAACCCTAAACCCTGAACCTTGCAATTCCAGAAAGTATGGCCTCCGGCTTACACCCTGTCCCCGAAGCCTTCGTGCAGGAGGCCTCATGCAGCGGGGCGCCGAGAGGGTCTTGGGTTTAGGGTTTAGGAATTTAAGGCTTAGTTTAGGGTTTAGGGTTAGGGTTTACGGTTTAGGGTTTAGGGTTTAGGGTTTCGGGTTTCGGGTTTGGGGTTTGGGGTTTAGGGTTTAGGGTTTAGGGTAGATGACTCGCACATAGTGGCGCGGCACCTGTCGCAAGCGAAGGCACTAGAAACCATCGGGGTTTCAGGGCTCAAGGTCTAAGCTGCAAAAACTACTAAACCCTAAACTCTCTGTGCCTAAACCCTGAACTTAAAATCCGAAACCCTAAGCCCTAAACCCTAAACTGGGAGATTGTCGATCCAGCTGGGCGAGTGTGGCCTCCGATGGACGACCGGACGCAAGCGACAGACAGCAGGGGAGGCTACACCAAGAATGACCGAAAGCACACCGTGCACAACACTGATTGGTAGGGTTAAGGGTTTCGGGTGAACTTCAATACCTGTCCCCAAGACCCTATACCCTACACCTCGAACCCTCCCCTGAAAGCCATGTGACACCTGGGATACGTTTGGAAATTTGAAAGAAAGTTCGGAGCCTTGACCCTATCACCCCGTATTACGGTCATTTCTCCAAATTCGGGTCCCTTTTGTGGTGGCCCTTCTTATTTAGGATGCCCATTTGAGAGCTCACCGAATAAACATGAGACATAGCCTCCAAATCACAAGGCCTTCGCCCGGCAAGGAGCCAGAGGCGGCAAAGGCTGGAAAGCCTTGAACTTGAGGTTTGGGTTTAGGGTGTAGGCAGACCTGCTTACATCAAGGGCACTAGAGGTTAGAAGGGACCTCAGGGGTCATGTAGGGGCTAGTATGTAGGGGCTAGGGGAAGAAGATTAACGATCTTGCGGTCCCGTGTTTATACCCCTTTATTGGAGGATCAGCAGAGGGTTAGCCTACTTGAGGCCCTTATCCTCCAAGTGGGCCTCCTGGCATAGGGCTTTCATGAAGGTTTCCTAGGGCTAGAGGTCTCAGAATTTGCTGGTGCGACTTTGTGCTTCAGATCTCGGAACCCTAAACCCCAACCATAAACCCTACACCCTCAACCCTCAACCTTAAACCCTCAATGACCTTAAACCCTCAACCCTGAACCCGAGTCCCAACGGGATGAGGGGTGTTACCTCACACCTTCTTGGGGGGCATTTAGGGTTCAGGGTTTAGGGTTTAGGGTTAGTGTCTAGGCCCTGGGTCCTTCGGAGGTTCATGAGTAGTTAAACGTAAGGTTTGCGAAGCCTCCTAAACAGTAATTGCCGGTTCTATTTCTTGAAAGCCATAGGCCCCCAACCCTAAACCCTACAAGCCCCCGAAACCCCAAAAGCCCCTGAGATTTGAGCTGAGGCGCGAGAGGCGCTAACTTCTTAACAGCCCCCATGCCCCTCCCTCTCCCTCCTTCTCTGAACCCCAGAGAAACAGGGTTTAGGGTTTAGGGCGCAGGGTTTAGGGTTTGGGTTAACCCTAATCATCCGGCAGGTCGGGCAGAGGGCACAGCACGGCTACGCCGAAGCCCTGCTAGAGGACCGTTTCTTCCTCCAATAAACTCAAACGCTAAAACCTAAACTCTAAACCCTAAACCCCCTAAACCCCCCCCACCCCCCACCCCCACCCCCCCCACCCCCCCCAAATATGCCCAAACCCCCCTAAACCCCCCTAAACCCCTAAACCCCTAAATCCCCCTAACCCCTCAAAACCCCCGACGCTCCTAAACCCTAAACCCTAAACCCTAAACCCTAACCCTAAACCCTAACCCCTAAACCCTAAACCCTAAACCCTAAACCCTAAACCCTAAACCCTAAACCCTAAACCCTAAACCCTAAACCCTAAACCCTAAACCCTAAACCCTAAACCCTAAACCTACACCCGAAACCCCAAACCCCAAACCCTAAACCCTAAACCCTAAACCCTAAACCCTAAACCCTAAACCCAAAAAAGCCCCTCAGGAGCTGGGCTTGCCCTCGGAAAGTGGCTCCGAGAGCGACACCTCCGAGGAGGAGGAGGAGGCCCGAGTGACTTGGGGTTTAGGGCTAGGGTTTAGGGTTTAGGGTTTAGGGCTTAGGGTTTAGGGCTAGGGTTGAGGGTTTAGGGTTTGGGGTTTAGGGTTTAGGGTTTTGGGGTTTAGAGTTTGGGGTTTGGGGTTTCGGGTTTAGGGGTTTGGGGTTTGGGGTTTAGGGGTTTGGGTTTAGGGGTTTGGGGTTCAGGGTTTGGAGTTTAGGGTTGGGGGGGTTGGGGTTTGGGGTTTAGGGGTTTGGGTTTAGGGGTTTGGGGTTCAGGGTTTGGAGTTTAGGGTTGGGGGGGTTGGGGTTTGGGGTTTAGGGGTTGGGGTTTTAGGGTTTGGAATGTGCCATTGTCAGGCAAATCCTTGCTCGTTGGGAGGAGGTTATGGCGAAGGTTGAGGCAACGGTGCCCGATTTTCGTGAGAATGCCCGCGCTATGACCGGCAGTGCAGAGACAGCCGTTTCCAGACCGCCGAGAAGCAGGAGACCGCCGAGAACGAGATTGTCGCTTCTACCTCTTGATGCCAAAGACTACACTGTCTACTTGCTGACAGAGGACGGACAGGAAACCCTTTCCATTTTCGGCGCTGACACGGCGGAGAGCATCCTCACCAAGTATCAGGCGACGCGCCACCACATCCCCTTCACAGACCCTGTGATTATGGGGTGCGATGTTGAGAACAAGACCACTATAAGGGTTTAGGGTATCAGGGTTTAAGGTGTAGGATTCGTGTTTTAGGTTTCAGGGTTTCAGGGTATTCGGGTAGTCGGATCAGGGTATCAGGGCATCATGGTTTTAGGGTGTCAGGGTTCTGGGGTTTTTAGGGTTTCATTACGGCGTTTGAGGTCTTAGGCTTGTTTTTTTTTGTTTAAACCGGGTGTTGTTTATGGGTGCACGGTCTGTGTGGCTTTAGTTGTTTTCGGCTACAGGTTTCGGAGTGTTTTGGAGCTTGTTGTTGGGAGCTGGGCATCTATCACCCAGCTTCATGGGGCTTCGACGTTCTGGGTGAAGGGCTTAGGGGTTGAACGTTTTGTGTTCAAGGGCTCCGGGGTTGAACGCTTTGTGTTTAAGGGCTCACATGTGTCAGGCAACCCTAAACCCTAAGCCCTAAGCCCTAAGCCCTAAACCCCAAACCCCAAAACCTAAGCCCTAAGCCCTAATCCCTAAACCCTAAACCCCAAACCTAAAACCTGAACCCTAATACCTAAACCCTAAACCCCAAACCCTAAACCCTAACCCCCCCCCCCCCCCCCCCCCCCCCCCCCCCCCCCCCCCCCCCCCCCCACGCAGCAGTCCCTCAGCATCCGCCATGTCGGAGCAGCGGCTGCGAGTCTTCCAGGCCTCCGGCCAGGAGCTCCTGGCCCTCTCTGCAGAGGAGCCGAGAACCCGGAGTAGGCCCTTGTTTCCTTTTTTGGGGTTTAGGGTTTAGGGTTTAGGGTTTAGGGTTTAGGGTTGGGGTTCCCTTATAACCCCCTGAAAACCAAAAAGGGGTACCCTCATTTTTTTATTCCTAGGTTACTCCTGGGAGGAGCTGAGAGCCGTCGGCACGGTTGGGAACCTGAAGCGTCGTCTCTTGCCTGAGGGCTTTAGGGTTTTTTAGGGTTTTCTGGGTATTTAGGGCTTTTAGAGGTTTTAGGGTATTCAGGGTTTTTAGGGCTTTTAGGGTACTTAGTACTTAGGGGTTTCTTGGTTTGGGGTTTGTTGGGTTGTAGGGTGGTTTGGTTTGAGGGTTTTTAGGGTTTTCGGGACAGAATCAAATCCCAAAAACACTTTGGGACAACCTTCAGCGCCCCCTGCAACCCCTTGAGGCCTCCTCAACCTGAACAAACGAGGCGAAAATGAAAATCCCCCCGAACCAACCCCCTAAAGCTCCTGCACTAAACCCTAAACCCTAAACCCTAAACCCTAAACCCTAAACCCTAAACCCTAAACCCTAAACCCTAAACCCTAAACCCTAAACCCTAAACCCAAAACCCTAAACCCTAAACCCTAACCCCTAAACCTAAACCCTAAACCCTAAACCCTAAACCCTAAACCCTAAACCCTAAACCCTAAACCCTAAACCCTAAACCCTAAACCCTAAACCCCAAACCCCAAGCCCTCCACCCAGGCCTGCAGGCGCTCTGCGGGGTGCCCAGGTTTCGGCAGCGGCTCCTGCGCGGGGGCGCCGCGGGCCTCGAGGAGGGCGCCCGCTTGGAAGCTGACGACTTCCAGCTGGTCCTGCTCGGCTTCTGCAGCTTGGGGGAGAAATTGCGTAGACCCTAAACCTTGGGATGTTCCCCCTTATACTAGCAGTCCTTGATCGGGATTCTAGTACCCCTAGTATAGTCCGGCTGTTAGTATAAGGGTGAAGCTGCGTAAACCCTAAACCCTGACCCGAGACCCTGGAGGACCGTCTCTTTGGTTAAGGGTGTTTTTTTGTTTTTTTGCTTCTGCAGCTCTTGCCCAAAGGCAAGGTTTTTGACAAGCATTTGCTCGCCGCAAGTCATGTTTTGCAACGTGCAACTGAAGCTGTCTTCCCCCCCCCGAATGTGGCAAGCGTGCCTCAGACTGTGGACAATCTGGTGCGCCAGGATGGAAAACATGACCCGACTGTGGAAACATGGAAAACGTGCCCCTGAGACTGTGGATGGAAAGCATGTGGAAGACCATGGCTTGTAAAGAGCGGGCAATTCATTCGGCATCATTCCACAACGGTTCCGTGACTTCTTCGCGTTTTTTTTTCCACAGCTTTGTCTGCAACTTGTCCCCAGCCTTCTCCCGCAAAAATCTGCAACTGCTACAAGCGGGTGGAATGTGGAAATGACCTTGGAAGGTGCAGAGAAATGGGTTTTGGGCGTACGAAAGGTGGCTGTTTATTGTGTGGAAAAAGGAGGCTTCTGTTTGTGGAACGTCGAGCTGCGAACGTGGAAAAAGGGGCCGGAACGTGCAAAAAGATGCCTTCGATTTGTGGGATTGGGCGTGGAAAAATGAGGCCTCTTGTTATGGAAGACATGGTTCTTAAAGTGAAAAACGCAACCCAGTTGTAGAAGTTATATAAGGAGACGATGAGTGAGGATTAGTTGATTCGTTGCCGTGGGACTGGCCAAGTGCATAGCTTCAAGCAAGAATCACCTCTTCTCATCGTTTCGGTGTGCAATTTTGACATGTTGTTGTGCTTGCGCTTGATTTGAATTTCAGGATGAGTTTTGATTGTTTGCTTGCCGCGCTTCGCTCTTGGAACTTGAGGTGGGTGGGTGGGTGGGTGGGTGGAGAGAGAAAAGCGAGCGCGAGAGGGAGAGGGAGAGAAAGAGAGAGAGAGTCCTGGGCTTTTTGTCAAGGGGTTTTGCTGGGGTTTAGGGTGAAGGCTTCTGGGGGGCCTTTGTTGTTTTAAGCTTAGGAGCTTTACAGGACTGTCGAAGCGAATCATTACCACAGATATAGCAAGAATGACAGAATGACAGTTCTTGTTCTTAGTGCAAGCACTGAGAACAAACAAACAAGAAGGCAAAGCACTCAATAGTCGAGACTTTCCAAGGTAGCGCTTCAGAGGAGGAGGTGGACCACCTTGCAACCTGCGCGAAGCAGGACTTGGTCGAGAGGGTCGAGGAGGTTCTCGCGCGGCCCATCGATCCGGACTTGATCGGACGACGTGGGCTGTCGCCGCTGTGCCTGGCGTCGCAGCACGGCCACAAGGGCACAGTGCAGCTTCTGCTGGAGGCCCAGGCAGACAAGGACAAGGCGTGCGGATGGGCCACGCCCCTGCGCTTGGCAGCTCAGGAAGGCCATGCAGAGATCGTACATCTACTCTTGGAGGCATGGTAGCCCAGTGGTGCCCTTTGCCCCTTTTTTTGGGTTACGGGTTCCCTTACAAGGTAACCTGACCCCAAAAGGGGTGCCCTTATTACTTAATATGGCTTCTGGGCTACTAAGGAGGCGGGCGCCGACAAGGACGGATGTAGCAGAGGCGAGACCCCACTTGGCTTGGCAGCCAACGAAGGCCACGTGGAGACGACGCGCCTGCTTCTCGAGGCGGGCGCCAACAAGGACAAGAGAAGTGGATGCTGGGCATGATTTGCTACATTGTTACCGGATGTAACAAATCTGAAAACCCTAAGCCCTAAGCTGTTATGGTGCCAAAGCGACACAGGATGGGAAACGCCTCTTTCCCTGGCTTGTCGCAAGGGCAAGGTTGAGATTGTGCGCGTGCTGCTGGCGGCAAGTGCCGACCAGAGTATCGTGTTCTCGAACCATAGCCCGCTCAAGTTGGCACGCGTTGCGGGCCACGCGGACATTGTGCGCTTGCTAGAAGAAGCCAGCACTCGCGAGGCAGAAATAGAAGCCAGCACTCGCGAGGCAGAAATAGCAGAGCATGCTCCCCTCAAGGGCATTCTGGAGGAAGAGTATTCGGCTATTCATAAGAAGTGTCTATAAAGGCTATAAAGGGCGCCCTACTTCGTTCAGAACATCATCCCCCCCATGTGCACAAAGCTTGGGCTTCCGGTCCTGGGTTCAGGGTCCGGAGAGTGCTTGACTGAGATTGCGCGAGCGTCCGCAGAAGGCACAAATGTTGGGGACCATAGGTCCTAGGCAGGAGCCCTAGACCCTGGACCCTGGACCCTGGACCCTGGACCCTAGACCCTAAACCCTAAACCCTAAACCCTAAACCCCAAACCCTAGACCCTAGACCCTAGACCCTAAACCCTAAACCCTAAACCCTAAACCCTAAACTACTACTACGACCACGACGACGGCAAGAATCCGACCCGGCGCTCCCGCACCAGGCTGTGAACCACGTCGGCTCGGCGGACGACGGAGGCCCCGACGAAGGCCATCCTGGCGGAGAAGGGTTTAGGGTTTAGGGTTTGGGGTTTAGGGTTTCTAGGGTTTAGGATTTGGGGTTTAGGGTTTAGGGCTTAGGGTTTTTGGTTTAGGCTTTAGGCTTTCGGCTTTAGGCTTTAGGCTTTAGAGGGTTAGGGTTGAGGGTTGAGGGTGTTTAAGGTTTGTGAGCCTGCGCCCTGAGCCCTAAACCCCCACGTAAAGTTCAACAAGAAACGACAAGGCATAAAACCCCAGCCTCCAAATCCCAGTCCTCAAACTTCCCCAAGCCTAGTAGACCTCGAAATCTCGCTCTCTTCGCCTGATGAGAAACTCGCTGTGGGTCGGGCCTAAACCCTAAACCCGAAACCCTAAACCCTAAACCCTAAACCCTAAACCAAAAAACCCTAAACCCTAAACCCGAAACCCTAAACCCTAAACCCTAAACCCTAAACCCTAAACCCTAAACCCTAAACGCTAAACCCTAAACCCTAAACCCTAAACCCTAAACCCTAAACCCTAAACCCTAAACCCCGCGCAGGAGTGGATGCTGCTCCGCGGCCGACCAAAGCGTCGCAGCTCAACGTCGTGCAGAACCTCGAAGGCTTCCGGACCTACACGGTTTAGGGTTTAGGGTTTAGGGTTTAGGGTTTAGGGTTTAGGGTTTAGGGTTTAGGGTTTAGGGTTTAGGGTTTAGCCCTCGACATTACCAAACCCAGAGCCCTGAGACCCCTAAAGACTATCTCTACTTGGAGGTTCATGGTACTTCCTGACCAAAAAGTCATTGAACTTATAGCCCTACGATAACCTAATTTGGTAATTAAGTGGCTGCAAGTGGGTTGTAAATACAGTTCTAGCCGGTTCTTAAGTACCACGAACCTCCAAGTAAGCCTGAAATCTGAGCCCCAACCCGAAACCTTGCACGGCTTTGGGACCTAAGTGGAATTTAGGTTTCAAGGTTTGGGAGTTCAGGGGTTCGAGCTTAGGGTTTAGGTTTTTGGCGTTTGGGAGGGTGTAGGGGTCTATAGGGTTCACATGAAGGCGCACAGGACGTACGAGCGGGTTGTAAGTGATCCAGGTTACCTCAACTACAATTTGGATGGCTTCCCTGACTGCAACTACACTGCCACATGGGTAGTTCTCGAAACTAGTGTCTTTTTTTGGGGGGTCCTGATGTTAAGGGTGCCGTATTGCACAAGGGAACCCCTAAAGCTTAAATCCTGAACCCCCTCCCCTAGCTTAGAGAGCTATCCGCATGTATTCCTGAGGGTATGGTGGTCATAGGCTTTGTAGATGCGAGATGGCTGCAAATCATGCGAAGTAGTATCCGACCGAGGCATGGGGTTGGAGGGCTTGGGGCTGGGGTGTAGACTCTAGGGGTTTAGAGTGTAGGAGTTAGAGGTTCAGGGTCCAGAATTTAGGGCGAGAGTTTTGGGCTTAGAGTCTAGAGTTTAGGTTCTAGGGGTTAGAGTTTAGGGTTTAGGGTAGAGTTTGGGGTTCAGGGTTTAGGGTTCGTTCGAATGGGGCAACCCCAAACTCTAAACACAAAACCCAAACAGGTTTAGGGTTTGATTAGGGTTTAGGGTTTGGGCTTATTTACGGTGTAGGGTTCAGGGTTCAAGGTTTAGGGCTTTCGGTTTAGGGGTTTAGTGGCCCTCAATCCCAAACCCCATTTCAAGGCAGCTCCAATGAGAGCGCTGCCTAGGCGAGACCATGTTTGCAGTTGACTGGTTCCTTTGCGGTCCTCTGCGAAGCTCTAAGCCCTGAACCCTAAACCCTAAATTCTCACGTCCTGAACCCTAAACCCTAAGCCCTAAGCCCGAAACCCTCAGCCCTAAACCCTAAACCCAAAGTTTTCACCTCCCTAAACCCGAACCGTAAACCCTAAACCCGAAATCCGAAAAGATTCAGAGACAGCCTAAACCTTAAAACCTCAGGTCCACTTGAACCTAAACCATAAATCCGAAAAGAAAGATTCAGAGACTGAAAGCCGCCGAGCGGCAGCAGGCTGCCTGGAAGACGCCGCCACGTCGGTCTCGGAGGCTGGTGATGTTCAGGGTTTAGGGTTTACGGTCAGGGTTTCTAAGGATTGCCGGATGGGATTCTATGGGGTTTCTAGGGATTTTCTACAGGGCTTTCTGCAGGGCTTTCTGCAGGGCTTTCTATAGGGGTTTCTAGGGGTTTGTAGGGGGGTTTCTAGGGATTTCTACAGGGGTTTCTTGGGTTTTCTACAGGGGCTTCGAGGGTGGTGCTTTATTGTGCTTCTGGAGTTTATCGAGAAGCCTAAGCCCAGAATCCTTGGCTCACCATTCATCAACCCTGGCAGCAAGTGCGGCTTGCTGTTGAGCAAGCAGGCGGGCGGAACTGGCTTTGACTTCGTCTCCACATCAGACATGCTGATCATGAATCCCAACTGGAATCCTAGTGCTGAGTCAACATGCGGCCCGCGTCTGGCGCACGGGGCAAACGCGTCCGTGCAGAATTGGACGCCTGATGGCAGCGCGCTGCCTTCGAGGAGATCATGCTCCTGACGCAGCTTGCGCGTTCCGCCAGCCATGGGCCGTAGAGAACCTGAGGAGTGGTCCTTAAGCCCCTGCGCTTTAAGCCCTTGTTTGGCCCTAAACCCCTGAACTCCCCCCCGCGCCCCAGTAGCCGTAAACCCTAGACCCCAAACCTTAAACCCTGGAGCACCCATGCCCTTCAGGGCCGGGGTTTAGGGATTAGGGGTGAAAAGCGGTCAGCCTAAACCCTATACAGGCTGCACCCTAAACCGAACCCTAAACCCTAAACCCTGAACCCTAACCCCTAAACCCTGAAGCCCTAAACCCTAAACTTAGGGTTCAGGGTTTCGGCTTCAGAGCCCTAAGCCTTTAAGCCAGAAGCCTGTGGACTTTCAACCTTCTGGCTTCTTCAGTCCCCCTTTCCTGGAAGCCGTGAGCCCCGGAGTTTGGGGTTTAGGGTTTTCGGGTTAGGGTTTTCGGGTTTAGGGTTTAGGGTTTAAGGTTTAGGGTTTAGGGTTCAGGGTTTAGGGTTTAGAGTTCAGGGTTTAGAGTTCAGGGTTTAGGGGTTCAGGGTTCAGGGTTGAGGGCTCTTAGGGCTTAGGGTTGAGGGTTCAGGGTGTAGAGTTCAGGGTTTAGAGAGTTCAGGGTTTAGGGTTTGGGTTTTTAGGGTTTAGGGTTTAGGGTTTAGGGTTTAGGGTTTAGGGTTTAGGGTTTAGGGCTGCGGGCTCGCAGGGCTTAACAGTTACGTCGCGCCTCCCGAGGCGTAGAACGTCCTTGGCCCGAAGCTCCGAGTGAACCCGAAGCTCTCCTAACCCTAAACCCTAAACCCTAAACCCTAAACCCTAAACCCTAAACCCTAAGCCCTAAGCCCTAAACCCTAAACCCTGAACCCTAAGCCCTAGACCCTAAACCCTAAACCCTAAACCCTAAACCCTAAACCCAAACCCCAAACCCAAAACCCTAAACCCTATAGGTTTGGGCTTCCAAGGTGAGAAGTGCACTGGACAAGCTCGGGGATCAGGTCCTGGAGGCCGCAGCTCATTGGGGTCAGGTCGGCGTTTGGGGTTTAGGGTTTAGGGTTTAGGGTTTGGGGTTTGGGGTTTAGGGTTTAGGGTTTTGGGTTTTGTGTTTTGTGTTTTGGGTTTAATGTTGGTGGATTTAGGGGGTTGAGGGAGTTCGGGGCGGGGGTTGGGGCGGGGGGGGGCGGGGGGGGCTTAGGCGGGTTGGGTTTAGGGTGGTTAGGGGGCTTAGAGGGTTAGGAGGGTTTAGGGGGTTTAGGGGTTTTAGGGGTTTAGGGGGTTTGGAGGTTTATGAGGTTTACCGGGGTTTAGGGGTGTTACGAGGTTCATGGGGTTTAAGGGGGTCTCTGTGGTTTATGGGGGTTCAGGGTTGAGTTGATGGTTCGGGGTTGAGCATTTAGGGTTGCGGGCTTGGGGTTGAGGTTTTCGGAGGCCCAGTGTGAGAGGGCGCCAGTTTGAAGTCGGTGTAACCCTAAACCCTAAACCCTAAACCCTAAACCCTAAATCCTAAACCCTAGGCCCACTGGCTGAACCGCTGGCATCGCTCCGGGCTGAGTTGCTTCGCATCCGCAACAAGGGCGCGAAAGAAGCTTCGCTCCGCTGCACTGCGCAGAGGCCATCTTCCAGCCACGGATTGCTGACCCCTAAACCCTAGCCCTAAACCCTAAACCCTAAACCCTAAACCCTAAACCCTGAACCCTGAACCCTGAACACTGAACCCCAAACCCTAAACCCTAAACCCTGAACACTGAACACTGAACCCTAAACCCTAAACCCTAAACCTTGCAACCTAAACCCCAGACCCTAAACCCTAAACCCCAACCCCAAACCCTGAACCCTGAACCCTAAACCCTGAACCCTGAACCTTGCAACCTAAACCCCAAACCCTAAACCCTAAACCCCAACCCCAAACCCCAAACCCTAAACCCTGAACCCTAAACCCCAAACCCTGAAGCCTAAACCCAATGAGCCGACGCAGCCGGCAAATTCGCCATCGGCGTTCTTCGCCGGTTTGGTTGGGTCGGGGACTGGAGGCAAGGCCGGGTGGACAGTTCGTAGGGCCCCAAAAGCCCTAAGCCCCAAGCCCCAAGCCCTAGCCCGAAGCCCTAAGCCCCAAGCCCGAAACCCTAAACCCTAAACTCTAAACCCTGGACCCTAAACCCTAAACCCTAAACCCTAAACCCTAAGCCCTAAGCCCTAAGCCCTAAACCCTAAGCCCTAAACCCTAAGCCCTAAACCCTAAACCCTGAACCCTAAACCCTAAACCCTAAACCCTAAACCCTAAACCCTAAACCCTAAACCCAGCAAGTGACTGGCAAGGTGGCTTCTAGGGTTGCATCCCGTGGGGCACCCAGGGGAAACGAGGGTTTGTGGGTTTGGGGTGGTGAGGTTTTAGGGTTTAGGGTTTAGGGTTCAGGGTTGAGTTTTTAGGGTTTCGGGGTTCAGGGTTTTGAGGCGTATTGGGGTTTAGGGTTCATTTGGGGTTTAGGGAGGAGTTTATAGGGTGTTAGTGTTCTGGGGTCTTTGGGGGTTTAGGGTATTGAGGTTGTATGGGTGTTTGGGTTCTAGGGGTTGTTGGGGGGTTTAGGGTTTTGAGGTTGTAGGGTTTTGGGGGTCTCGGGCTTCTGTGAGGTCAGGGTATTGAAGTTGTAGGGAGTTTGGGTT